CTAAGCACCGCTACAATATTATCGAGGACTATGGTGGAAGGGGGCACCGCACACGGCTAAGAATATGATCACGTGGATCAATTTGTGTCTCTAGGGGGTGCCCCTGCCTCCGTATATAAAGGTTCAAGGGAGGGGGGCCGGCCGGCCAGGAGAGGCGCGCCAGGAGGAGTCCTACTCCCTCTGGGAGTAGGACTCCCCCCCTTTCCTAGTTGGAATAGGATTCGTGGAGGAGGGGAAAGAGGAGAGAGAGGAGGAAGGGGGGCCGGCCCCCTCTCCTTGTCCAATTCGGACCAAGGGGGGAGGGGCGCGTGGCCCATCTCTGGCCACCTCTCCTCTCTTCCACTAAGGCCCACTAAGGCCCATATACCTCCCAGGGGGGGTTCCGGTAACCTCCCGGTACTCCAGTAAAATCCCGATTTCACCCGGAACACTTCCGATATCCAAAAATAGGCTTCCAATATATCAACCTTTATGTCTCGACCATTTCGAGACTCCTCGTCATGTCCGTGATCACATCCGGGACTCCGAACAACCTTCGGTACATCAAAATGCATAAACTCATAATGTAACTGTCATCGTAACCTTAAGAGTGCGGACCCTACGGGTTCGAGAACAATGTAGACATGACCGAGACACGTCTCCAGTCAATAACCAATTGCGGAACCTGGATGCTCATATTGGCTGCTACATATTCCACGAAGATCTTTTATCGGTCAGACCGCATAACAACATACGTTGTTCCGTTTGTCATCGGTATGTTACTTGCCCGAGATTCGATCGTCGGTATCTCAATACCTAGTTCAATCTCATTACCGGCAAGTCTCTTTACTCGTTCTATAATACATCATCTCACAACTAACTCACTAGTTGCAATGCTTGCAAGGCTTATGTGATGTGCATTACCAAGAGGGCCCAGAGATACCTCTCCGACAATCGGAATGACAAATCCTAATCTCGAAATACGCCAACCCAACATGTACCTTTGGAGACACCTGTAGAGCTCCTTTATAATCACCCAGTTACGTTGTGACGTTTGGTAGCACACAAAGTGTTCCTCCGGCAAATGGGAGTTGCATAATCTCATAGTCATAGGAACATGTATAAGTCATGAAGAAAGCAATAGCAACATACTAAATGATCGGGTGCTAAGCTAATGGAATGGGTCATGTCAATCACACCATTCTTCTAATAACGTGATCCCGTTAATCAAATGACAACACATGTCTATGGTTAGGAAACATAACCATCTTTGATTAACGAGCTAGTCAAGTAGAGGCATACTAGTGACACTCTGTTTGTCTATGTATTCACACATGTATTATGTTTCCGGTTAATACAATTCTAGCATGAATAATAAACATTTATCATGATATAAGGAAATAAATAATAACTTTATTATTGCCTCTAGGGCATATTTCCTTCAGTTAGGGTTTCCCCCGAGTCGCCTCGGAGGAGACGACGTGGGGCACGGGGGGAGGGGGCAGTTTGAATATAGTCCGGCATCATACATTACCTTGGACAAGTCGAGCTACATCAGAGGTTCGTCTAAGGCGTGTTTCCCTCAAAATCCTCCAAAACCCGATTTAGTGAAACCAATTTAACACTCCACTATCCCAAAAATGACATATGGTTTTCAGTCATAAAACTCTATTCTTATAAAAAAACCGAGTTGGTGATGATGGTGTGCCTGCCATCCTACAATATAGACCGTCCGATCTATATCTGAAGGATAGAAAGCAAACTATGGCAATTTTGTAAAAAGATACCCGCACCCATCTTCACATTTGCAGATAAGGCAATCCCTCGTTCATCTTCGTCTCCCACAAGATAAACAACTCGTATAAATGCATCTTGATGTTCCGTGCAACGCATGGGCCTAATTTTCAATACGCGATGAACATTTGAAGATAAAGGTGTTAAATACGGAGTGACTATTTTTAGAATACGTGATAATCAATGTTTTAATACAACATTTTTTTAACTGCATGTAGGGTGAAAATTTTAAATTGACGGTTTGGTTTTTTCAAATATGCGATGAATTTGGCTTGAAATAATTATTTTTACTTTAAAAGAAACTTGAATCAAATATAAAAAGTAAAGGTGAAATACAGCATATTGGTTGCATCTATCAGTTTCATAAATACATGGATTTTTTCTGAAAATATTTTCTTAAATGCTTCGAGTAAATTTTCTGTTCAACAATCTTTTCCCAAAAACAATTCAGATTTTTTTATCTTTATCCCACTGTACTTATTTTCTCCCAACTGATAGAGACATCCATAAAATAAAGATTTGAATTGGAGAGATCCATATTCCATAATTGGGCGTAACGAACAGGCAAAAAAGGAAGGGAAGAAGAAAGTTCGGGAACTTTTCTTTTTCTTTTTTGAGAATCAGAAAGTTCGGGAAGTAGCGACGCGACGCGAGTAATGGGCTTCATGCAGAGATGGGCCTAACGACGCGACGCTGCTAATCGGCCTGGAAATAATCACGGTAAATGGGCGGTGCTTTCTATAGCCCACACGAGTTCTCTAACTAATTTGTAACCCATCCGGTCGCCCCTTGACCTGCCAGGTTGCATCAAAGAAGAATCCTCGTCGACTTGGTGGCCGCCCCTCTTCTCCGGCAGGCGGCAGTGGCGGACTGTCGATCATCACGGTGAGATACTTCCTCCTCTGCCAGTCGTCCTCCGCAATCCACTTGCTTCTCCTTGCAGTTTCTTTTCCCCTTTTATTGGCGACGAGTCCACCCCTAGCTATCTCTTTCTGCAATAGATGAAAGTGTCACACCTGAATAGGAGATCGTTGCTGTCGCTAATATATGTCTGGATATTCAGGATTTCAGTTGATTTTTCTCGTATCCTTATAAAGTTATAAAGAGGGGAATTGTTATGAATTAGTTTTCACGAATTTAATCACATTAATCTATGCACTTCTAACTTCAGTCTTGTAAATTGCAACAGAAAAACATGCAAAATCTGGTACTCCCTCCGTTCCTAAATATAAGTCTTTCTAGAGATTTCAATAAGAACTATATATGGATGTATATAGACATATTTTATAGTGTAGATTCACATATTTTGCTCCGTATGTAGTCTTTTTTAGAATCTCTAGAAAGGCTTATATTTAGGAACCGAAGTAGTTCCAAGAATATTTGGGTAAAATATTCTATAAAACGGAGTTTGTTGCCCTTCCGAACACATGGAAGGAAAGAAACCATAGAGTGTTCCAGGGAAAGCGAAAACCCGTTATCAATGCTGCATTTGAAAAAAGATAAATACATTAGAACTCCAAACTTGTGTGAATCCATTCATATTGAATTTGCATCACGAAGGCGCAAACAGACTATATCTGATCTAGTCAATTTTTTAGTTTGTCGCGTCCTAGGTTAGCTCGACGAATTTCCTACAAGGCATTATGACGAGGTAAAGAAATATTTCTTCATCTGAAGCATAAACTGCCGGCTGTGTATTCTCTCGGATTACCTGGTAGGAGGTCTTCTCCAGTTGCTGACTGCCTGCCCGGCCACCGGATGGCATGGTTATCTTCTTTTCCTGGTGGTCCGAAAGCACAACGGCAGCCCACCCTGCCTTCGCAAGGGCTTTGTGACGCTAATGATCATCACTGCTTGGGCTATCTGGAAGCACAGGGACGCGGTCATCTTCGAGGGCATGCATCCCTCCAATGCCCATCTGCTAAACAACATCAAAGACGAAGCTCGGAAATGGGCACACGCGGGTGCCAAGGGATTAAATAGGATTCTACATGTAGCCTGGGTCCTCTGTACCGGGGCTGAGCAACCCCACACTCTCCTGCTCACTTGTAACCTCATTGGTGCCTCTGTGTACGCCAACTTGAGGTTACTTCATTGTATCCACTCCCCTACCTATTAATGAAATGATACGCCTCCGCGCGTATTCATGAAAAAGCAACATAAACTGGTTTTAGGGTTTGTTTGTGTTTAGATGAGTGTGATTAGAATAAATTAAATTTGGATCTCAGAAATAAAAAACGAAGATCTGATTTGTTCATGGTGAGTTGGAGATGGTTATTACATTGAAGGGTTAGTGTTCACATTTTAGTTTTTGCATCATTGTTCGAAACTTGTTTTAAGCAATTGCACACCACAAACGAAAATGTAAAATGGTTGCTTTAGTCTGAACCTTTTTTTTCTTGTATAGATTACTTCAAAAAATCGTCTGCAGAGAAACCTTTCATTAAACACTATTATCAGTATGATGCTGCGCTGCACCTGGTACAATACATCTAGTCCCATTGTTCACTTGACTTTCAAGACTCAATCTGGAAAAAAGTGTCGTTGCTTCTATAGTTAATTAGTTATTCGCTTTTGCATATCTGCGACCGAATCTCATGCGGAACCTTGTGGCTTGTGCAGTAATGTTCAGTCCCATACCTTCCTTTTGTGAATATCATATTCTTCTTATCTAGTTAAAATATCAGTAGTAATAAGTAGTACTAATTGGCAGAACTAACGAAGGCAAGGAGGGAAGAAATAACAAACTGTAGTAGGATAAGGCTAGTATTTCTGTGTGTTTCTCCTTTTCGAAGCGTGGTAGGTGCACAATATTCCAAGTTGTGTTCTATATATATACGTCCTAAAAACTCTGTTGCTTTCTGCAACTTCTAAAAGCCCGTAGCCGGCTATCAGCTGTGCCTTTCAATATAACCCGTGCCCTTGGCCTTTTATCTAATTATATAGTATATAATAAAAACAAACTGTCAATATGTATGATTGTTATGTCTTGTGGTCTGTTTATGATATTTTCTACTGTCGTTACTAATTAATCTTCGGGTTACAGTTTGACAAAAGTTGTTACTCTATTTGGCTCTAATAGTTGATGGTAGATTGTTTATTTTTGCTCATTTTGAAGATTTGAACTAGAACACTGCCTAATATTGAAAGCCTTAGAGGACCCTTTCTTGTTGGTGGCAGGAGTAGAAACCAATCAATTGAAATCATTCTGATAAAAAGGGAATATCATGGCTACTAAGGAGTTATCGATGAAGCTCCTGGTTGATACCAAGGCTCAGAAAGTCTGCTTTGCCGAAGCTGACAATGAAGTCGTCGAGTTCCTGTCCAGCCTCCTATGCCTACCGATGAGCACCGTCATCAACCTGCTAACCAAAGAGCGTATGGTTGGCAGCATTGGGAATGTCCTTGATAGCCTGGAGACGCTTGATGCCAAGTATATATACTCAGGCCAGGGCAAGGAGCCCTTCATCAGCCCTGCAATTTCCCCCGCTATGCTCTCTCCTTTGCAACAGCTACTGGGGGATGCACAATTCAGTGCTAGTAGCAGCTTCTTCACCTGTAATGGACTAAGAATCGGCTACACAAACTCTAGCTGTGGGTATTTTTCAGTTGCTAAAGGCAGCAAATGCCCAAGTTGCTCCAGCGGAATGAACATTGCTATGCCGCATGTCAAAACCGAGGGGTTTGTGGTTGGGACGGCCACATATACAGTCAAGGATGATCTCTCAATGATCCCTGCGTCCAGCGTGGCAAGCGTTACCTTGCTCGCGCAGTGTGGTGTCAAGGACCTGAGCATGCTGCAAGAAAAAATGGTGAAAATTGGCAAGGAAGAGGTTACACGCATACTCTCTTATTTCTATCACTAGTTTACCATTTAGTTTTCGATTACTTGGTGCAGTTCATGATATCTGTGTTTGGAATGTTTAGGCGCTGGACATACTCCATGCTTCTCTGAAGTCCAAGACCGTCCTGACTGATGTCTTCCTTCAGTCAAGAAAAGCTCGTTGCAAGAAGGAAACTGTTGCCTAGTTATGCGGTTATGCCCAAGTAAATTCAGCAGAAAGATGTCATGCAGAAATCACCATATGGCCCTGGTGGATGAGTGAGTTGTGAGCTGCCGGTCTGTTTGCATTGCCTGGCCATTCTCTAGGTTAGTGGACCAAAGCTAGTAGGCTGCTTAAATTAAAATCTCTGTTGACATCATGTACCGTGAGATGTGTGCCACTTTTGCCACCAGATTTTTAGGAGATTTTTTAGGAAGATATTTGTATGAACTTTTTTTGGGGGATTTGAATCAAGCTTCTGAATTATAAACCGTTTTCACTGTTGACTTCCTTGCACGATATCTTCAAAACTAAATCACACGTCGTGTCTTCTCTACACCTTGCCTGGTCGGAAGTCAGGTATGAGTGATGACACACATTAGAGAGCTTGTGGTATTTGTGTCCCTAGAATCTTCGGCCCTAGATCTGGGGTTGTTTTTGGCGCTTCGTCCTGTCATGTCTATAGTGGTCGTAAGTATGATGTCAATTTGCTTTAGTTAGTGTCTCTCCCATATCACCTTTTTTACGATGTCGGCATTCTTTCTCAACCGTATGACAATGAAGCAACGGTTCAATATTGTAAAATCCTACTTCAAACTGGGCGTCGTCTGTTTATTTCTTTGACCTGAGGGTTAGAGAAAATTGGAGATGCAACAGGGTAAGCTAGGGAGAATGATTTGACGTGCTTCTAATGTGAACTTTAGTTTTTCTATCAAAGGTAGTCATTGTCTTTTT